AAGAATAAAGATAATCAATTAGCGTCAAAATAATAATAACAAGATTAAATAAGTATAGATAGGAAAAATTAAATTCGTAATACTTTTATCAAAGATATGATATAATAAGAAACATTTTCTACTTAAAACAAACTCTTGACTTTATCTCATTTACATTTCTAATTTATTTTTTAATGTATCTTAACTTATAAGTTAAAAAAAATGAAAACAGCAGCAAAAGTATATATTATATTATCTGTTAGATATTGTAATTTTAAATATGTTAATATTTGTTCCTTTTGATAAGCGTTAAATACGTAAAAAAATCCCGCAGTTTATCGGCAATATATTATTTACAAATGATGTCGTATATCTTGTATGTATAAAATCGTTTTATCGCAATTGTATCACTATATTGAAATATTATCAGAAAGCTACAAACAATCGAGTGCAAAAATCAATGGTCTCCCAATTTCTTTAGTATATATATCGACATTATGATTATTATGGCGTAATAATTGATAATTCGATAATATTTCTGGTGATTTTCTAATTGCCATTTTTCTATTTAACACTATTAAACTTATGTCGGGTTAATATTGTTTCACACACACACACACACACACACACACACACACACACACACAACTTGTTTCGAGTGTCACGTCCTGATATATTCTCGAGCAAACGTTACAAAAACACGCCCTTTCCTGCTTGATTAATCGTTTTTCACGTAATCCTGCGTATTTAGGAAATGTGGGTCAATTCGATGAGTCAGTCCAATCGAATCTGAGAATAAAATGAAATAAAGTGCGAGCAATGTAGTAAGAGATGAAAAATTGCGACTAATACTTAACTTGATATCTTATCTTAACTTGATACTTTTTATATCTATTGACACCTCTTATGTCTATTTATATGCTTTATCAATGAATTTTCTTTTTTGCTAATATGATATTTGAAATCACTATGATAATATATAATGGACGCAATTATGTTCAAGGCAGAATGCAATATAAAATTGCGTTTATTAAGTATCCGGGATTGTATAAAACTCTTCGGAAATTATAGTCATGTAATTAGCATCACGAACTTGTATTATACATGTGTGTTATTTATATACACAAGCAATTTACTATTCCAAGATATATTATACATACACATATACTCCAGGATTTTTTCAACAAATGTAATTAATCATTTACAAATCGATAGTAGTACTTAGCATATTAGTTCTTAACTTTTTCTGATTTTGCATACAAAGCAGAAACGTATATTAAATGAAGCAAAGTAATTCAACTGTTATATACAAATTATATTAATTAAATTAAGAAGACTATTTAAAAAATCATGTTTTAAAATTTTTATGAATATTTTAAAATCCAAAAACAATCTTAATTCGCCAAATCTTTATAAATTATGTAATGTTACACATTTTAAAATATGTTATATAACTTATATGTTTGTGTTTGGCGCAATATAAAGAATTACTAACTTTAAGAGTTGGCTACACATTAATACGTAATCAGAAGTGCACGTTAATCGACCATTCAATACTTCGTAAATCTTTTTCCCAAGCAGTAACTACTTGCGCCAATATTGTACACTTGGTATCGCTTCTATTACATCAGAGAGACCGCCTTAATCCAATTCCATGACGATACGCTACTGCTCGGTGAATCGTAGCTTCATTGATTGCGACGCTCGTACGCTAGGTCGACAGTCGTCAGGGGGAAAAGGGAGAAGAAAATCCAAACGAAACGTGCATTCAGGGTTGGAATACAGGGTGCCCCAAGACTCGTGCTCCGGTAATTTTTTTATACGAAGCTATTTTTATTAAAAATTGTTACGATACTTGTTAATATAAATATAAATACTGTTTATATAAATATATTAATTTCTAGAAGTTTATTAATAAATTTAGAAAAATTAAATAAAGACAATAAATAAAATTTAAAGTTTTAATAAAATAATAATAATAACAAAAGATATATTCAAATATATTCGTTAGAATTTGTATTGGAAAACATCTAAAATGTAAAGTACTAGTGAACGAAAGACGAAGAAGTTTTATTACTTGCGCCATTAAAAGTCTTGTATAACATCTCTTAAATTAAAAATAATAGTCTTTTAAAAAAAGGAAAAAAATTTAAAATAATATTTTATTGGTACACTTGGTCATTTCTTGATAATAATTTGTCATAAAATTTTAAAACTTGAATGTTTTTTGTAGCTAATATATATTTAATTCTAAATGTCTTTCATTATAAATATTTGATTCAATTTCACTATTTCTTACAATTTTGCTAAACATATTTTAATAAATTTTTTTAACGAATATTGATTTTATGATATTAACTTAATTGCTCTTTAGATATTGAAATGCTGTGATCAATATTCCTTTATTACTTTGAAAGTGTATTAAAGTAAATAATATTTAAGATGTATATATGCTCTCTTTAAAATATAGTCTCCTAAAAGATATCTAATTTAAACAGAAATTAAATTAACTTAGCTATTATTTAGAATTCACAAATATATTAGATATACGTGTGTCACAGTGTTTTATTTCAATTATCAACCTGAAAAAGTTTATTACTGACAATTTACATTAGATAAATAATAAATGAGGAATTTTCTAAAAATAACTAAACAAAATCCTTTAAGATATTGGCCTCGTGTCAAATGCTTTCATTTATTCTCTTATCAGTTTCAATACTTATTCAGAAATTTTTGAATTCTGAAATTTTCAAAGATTGCCACCCAAAGGCATCGCACAATGCATGGCACCCTGCACTCTCGCCTACACATGGATCCGCGCGTGCTACTGCGCGTTGGAGAGCCACCCTGAAGGAAGGGTGCCTACTATAGAACGCTGCCGCGCAGGTGGGATAGTCGGGAGTGATCAACGACGAGGGGATGTGATCGGGGTGGTGTGGGGATTGATGGGGAAATCGAGCGGGTGGTACGCCTCGGCGTCGTGGCCGTCGCGATGACGTTGGTGACGTCGATCGGTGGCGCTGCCGATGCTTTTACCTTCGCCCTCCAACATTTGTATGTATACGTGTACAATTATAGTGACGTTGTACGTAAAGCATATAATGGAGCATACTCGTGGAGTAGAGACGTAACTCGTTTTCATGAAGGTGGCGCCAATGATGGAGGAGCCGGCAAAGGTGATGGTAGTGGTTAGTGATAGCGGTTTCGATGGTAGTGGTAGTATCTCTTTCAGTGCGCGCGGATCCGTCGCGCGCTGTACCGAGCTGCTCCTCTACGATGATGATGGTCATTGGTATACACATATATATGAATACGTCTACGTGCCGGCGAACGGGGGTATAATCACGGGTTCGCGCAATCGCAAATGTATATACGTATGTGTATGCGTACGGGGTGGCTGGCCCGTGTTCGACTGCGCGAACAAGGAGGATAGAGAAAGTGGTAGAGAAAAGAGCAAGCGGGGAAAAGACACAGAGAGAGAGAGTGGGTAAAGCGCGAGGGTGGCGGCGAACGCCGGTGGCGGTAGTGACAGCGGCGGTGGCGGCGTCAGTGCACGGAAGTGGCTGTGCTCCGGTAGTGGACGGTGGATAGTGTAGTGCGGTTGGTCGATTGGCTCGGTTGGTCGGTGGTTGATTCGCCGTTGGTCTCGCGTTGCCGTCGTGTTTCATTGAAAACCGAGCGGAACGACGTCGGACATCGTCCACGAGGCACAGACGGCGAGACGACGACGGGACCGCAAGAAGGGAGGAAAAGAGAGAGAAAGAGAGAGACGAGAGGCGAGAGAATGAGATCGATAAGGAGGAACCTTAGGCGCTGGTTTCGCGAAACGGGAACGGCAGTGCGCGACGCGTAGAGAGAGAGAGAGGGAGACATATATACTTTCTCCTCTCTTCTCTTCCTCCTCCATCCGAGATTGCGAGTGTATGTGTGTGTGTATGTGTGTGTAGTGCGCCGACGACAAGCGCACGCGACGGAAGCGAGACATACGCGTGTGGTACGCGCGCATACGTACGCACGCAGGCGCGAGTAAGCGCGTGTGAGCGAGCGAGCCGCCGACACACGAGGGTGGAACGAGGTTCGCGAGGAAGGGAACGCGGCCGGCTCGGTTCGTCGACTTGGCTGGCTCGCGAAAGGGCGGTTCTTGGATCCGGAGCGCCGCAACCGGAGGCCGAGGGAGAGAGCGAGAGAGACCGGAAGAGGGAACGCGAGAGAGGGTACACGAGAGAATACGTTCGTTCGTTCGTTCATTCGCGTCTTGTCGGCTCAGGAAGATAGAAAAGTGGAAGAGGAGGGAGTCGATTACCTCTTTTTCTCTCTCTCTCCCCCTCGATCTCTATTCGCCCTCGCTCGATGGGCTACGCCGTCGAAAGAAGGTCAAAGATCGATTCTCGGGCCGACGAGGGTCGTGACCTCGCCGTACGCCGCCGCCGAGTACGAAGTGACCCACGCGCGTAGTAGTACTATCCACTAGTAGTAGTACGCCGGCCAGAAGAGTTGTATTCTGTGAGGAGGCGAGGGTGGCGGTGGTGGAGAGAGGATCGATCGGGCGGAGGATCATCGTCGCGATGCGAGGATGAGGTTGATCGACCGGCAGAAAAGGAACCGAACCGGCAGCCTCTATTGAGATCGACGATACGTGGCAACCGTAGAAAGAACGAGGACCGAGACGATCAATCTCCTCGTCAATGCACGTCGTTCGCGAACGCGCCATCATACGTAGAGTAGAAACGTCCGCGCGCATCCCAGGACACGTCGTTATCGTGTCCGCGATTTGGCGTAAAAGATCGCGAAGGCGCAAAGAGATTGGAAATATATCGTCGACGTCGTCGTCGTCGTCGGCCATAGCCGGATGCTGGAGCACGAAGTCGGGAACGAAGCGAAGATCGAATCGCCCAAAGAAGGGCGATCGTCGAGGTTCCGACGCACGAAGCATCACACCTTCATCATCCGACTGTTACCCTAACTGAAAGCTCGGATAGACTGGACGGACGTCCTGCTGCGATTGGACGGGAAAACGCTCGTTGATCGAATCACCCGTGTGGACAATCGGGCTGATATGAGCGTGAAGACGCACGAGGGTGACGAGAGACTGGGGAACGGTCGCAAGGCGTGACAAAGCGACTACGGAAATTTCGAGATCCGGATTACACAGGATTCTCTTCGGAAATTGGAAAACTATCATTGCCGAGGAAATTGGGAAACAAGGACACGGATAGATCGCTGAATCACTAGGTCGAGAAAGAGAAAGACGCGTGGATTATTACACAAAACGATTGCGAAAGCGAGAGAATCGGGCGATCGTAGAAGAGAGAACGACGAACACCGACGGAATATCGACGAAACGCTGACGAGACGATAACACTGACTCGAGACGATTTATCGCGCCTACGAGGAGGAGGACGAGGTACGGCTACACGCCGAGGTTTCCCGTAGAATGTCACGGGACCTTTACTCGAGCAGTGGCGTGATCGGTCCAGGTGGTGGCACACGTTCGCCACGCAGCGGTCGTCGCGTGGGCGAACTGCCAACCGTTGATCGCAGTCCATCGCGAAGTTATGCCAGCGGTCGTGGAAGTCCGCTCGGTGGTCGTAAACGGGGAACTCGCAGTGGCAACAATTCGCCGGAGCACTTAGGCTACGGCGGAGGCTACCATCACCATCAGCTGGGCAGCCCGTACTACTCCCGCGACGAGGACCTCGGCAGTCCCGTGATGCTCGAGGAGAGGGGTAGGAGTATGTCGACCGGGGGCGGTGGGGGCGGACATCACCGATCCAGAAGCGCCTCGAGACCCGCCATGTCCAGCTCGGCGGGCATGGTAGCGCGTTACACCAGCCTCGATCGTGCCTCCGCTGGCGTTCTCGACCATGATCGGGAATTCGTGCCGATACGCGAGCCGAGCCGCGAACGTAGCCGCGATCGCGGACTCTACCTGGAAGACGAGTTATACGGCTCCAGGTCAGCGCGTCAGAGCCCGAATCCGCACATGCTGCGCGACGGCGGTGGCTACATCGGCGAGCTCCAGCATCAGAACAACGATCTGCAACGCGAGCTCGGTAACCTGAAGAAGGAGCTCGAATTGACGAACCAGAAATTGGGCAGCTCGATGCACAGTATCAAGACCTTTTGGAGTCCGGAACTGAAAAAGGAACGGGCGTTGCGCAAGGAGGAAAGCACCAAGTACAGCCTCATCAACGAACAACTTAAGCTGCTCAATTCGGAGAATCAGGTCAGTCGAGAATTCTCTTTTGCGGACCGGTCGATTCGCGATGTTCGGTTTAGCCTTGTGAGCGCGTGTGCCGCGTCTCCGTGTGCGCGTGTGGTCGCGTCAGCATAGGATTCGATTATCGAATTCCGTTGGTCCCGCACGAATACTGTACGGGATGCTTATAATAGCCTCACTCTTGTTTTACGATTAAAACATGAAGAGATGTTCTTAGAAAGCTACGGAAATGCGCGGAACATCCTGGCCGAGATCGTCGCGACTGTCACGTCATGCGCGTCCTTGCGCGAAGGCCGGTCTCTCGAAATCAGGTCGCGGGACGCGACCTGGCGTGCCCGACGTTAACCCTTTTCTATGATCACGAGATTGCGTAGTTTGCAGAATATTTTAGTACATGTGTTTGACCTAATTATCTTTAGTCTGTTTGTGGTTAAGAAGATTATCATATATAAGCAGGCATTTGCGTAGTGTACGTTGAAAATGGGTTAGTCCTTTAAACGGGAATCTTTAGTGCCTCAAAATAAACGAACCGAGAAGATATATATTACGTAATACAAGGTGTTTCTGGATCCATATTTTTCGAGAATAAGGCTCCTGTGTATTTTTAATTTTAATCAGAAATTTAGTTTATTTTTTAGAAAAAAGAAATGCAATATTTTTAGAAAACAATTCGTTATCAGGATAGTTAAATTATGAATGACATTCACTTTAAAGGGAAGATAGAAAAAATTTAAAAAGATTATATAAAATGCATTCATACAACGTCAGCTGGAAATGGGTCAACTCATAATGAAAAACTTTTGACGTAATAGAGGCTTTTTTATGAGAGCAACAAATTACTATTTTTGCAGAAACGTATTGCCTATCATATTCATATTTTACGAATATAATAATTAAACATATTTCGCTCACAACTAAGACAGAGATTAAGATTCTCTCTCACTTTCGTGACGCCACTAAGAATTCGTCACTGAGTTTTTCGATTATTCAGCTCCTTTAGGCGAATTAGTCAAACTAAAATAACGGCAATTCATTCTGCAGTAACGACACTGTTGCGGAATCTTATTATCGATTGGCTAAAAATGCAACACAAAGGGGGAGCCACCTTTATGCCGATTTCATGAGCATCGTGTACTCCGAAGCTTTCGCAGTAATTGGTCTATTATCACAATACACGTATTCGCGAGATGTATCAATTAACGTTATCATAGTGCAGAGTGCAGCGTGTCATTGTTGCGCAAATATCGTGTAAATCATTCATAATCGGCACATGCAGCACGGCAACAAGTTTCACTCATGCCGTAATTTGTGATTGCGTTCATTGTTTTGCAATATTTTACAATGAATCATTCGATACGTCGATTAATTAATTAAACGGACTCGTGCCACTCGTGCGAGCTCTGCCAAGTTTCTCGATACACTCGTAATATTTATGATGATACTTCAGAATTCTGATTCATGCAAAAAAATATTTTGCTGCTCCAGCTAGAATTATAACTATTCTTTTTGTAGAAAATTATGATATTTTGTAGAAAATTATGTATCACATACGCATTTTATATAGCAAATCTAAATTTTATCTCTGTCATCTATATGATTAGATGCAATACATATCCAATATCGTAGTATTTGCTAGAAATTTATCTATTTTAGTTATTCTTCGTACTTAGATAATTTTCGCTATAATTGCAAGCTCACTAACTTTTTTGAATGTTCGCGATTGTTTCTCTGTGCAATTTTTTAAATATTATAGGTCTGTTTTTTGTGGCTAAACTAGTATACACTTTTGGAACTTAAAATGAGATAGATATATATTCGAAGAAAGCGAGAAAGAGAGTTCTAGCGCAGTGTCTAGTGTAGAAATAAAAAACGGACCTTTTATTATACTTTTATATAAAATGCAAACTTTTATAAAAAACACAAATTTTATACTTAATTGAAAATAACTAATGCATTGATGTGTATTTAGATTATAAAGATACTTGTACACGTATTGCTGGAATTTGAGTAATTTATACGTAACGAGTAATCATATACAGAAGTCATGGATAATATTTTATCACCGCGAAAACTTTTAATAACACACACACATCCACACTGTATTAATTAAATCATCATTTTATTTAGTTGCCATCTGTTTTGTGGTTTAGCGACCACAGAGCAGGTTTGTAAATCCGATGAAGCCATCGCATCATAGAAAAAAAATATATGTCGAACTTGTTATAAATGCACGTCACATAAGAACGATATGTTACGGATTGCAATAGCTTCATTCGCATTTTCCATGAAATCTACTAAAATTTGTACGCTTTGCGCGTATCATGTGCGCGCGTGAATACGTTCGTTTTTGCAGAACGTATGTGCATACATGTGTATCGTGTTCACGACGGCGTCGAATAAGTCATTGCCCCCGCGAGCGGAAGAATCTCAAAGAGCTAGATGTTTCTCTGGCCGACTGCCCACATTCGTACCTACCTCTGTCCCCGTTTACCCTTGTCTAAGTAAATGAGTTTTCCTGCAACATATGTACGTATACGTATATACGAGCTTACATCAATCTCATGTAAGCCCATTGTTCCCGACGTGCTTGTCTCGTGCAAAATTCGCAATCATGGACGAACCGGGTTCACTATAAATTACGCCGACGACGTTTTTACCCTGACAATGATTTGCATTACACGCATCACTTGATAGTAACATATTTTCCTGGATACAAAATTAAGGAAATAAATTTACCAGTAAATATCAGGAACGACGCTATAAGTCAGGCATAGTGTATGTGCATGGAATTACAATTTTAATATTTAAAACTTGAGCTACAAAAATAAAATCCTAAATGTTTTGGTTCATATAGAACCGTCCTCAGTAGGTAAAAAGAACTTACATGAAGTGCGAATACATGAAGTCTCGCATAAAAATTCTTTTTACAATCTTGTAAAAAGTTATTTTTTAAAGTTCTACCTCGAATAAAGTTCTACAAATAAATTTACATTATATTTATCACATAAAATACAAAGGAAATGTTCTTTCTTTTATAAAGATAATTATGACACACTAAATTACAAAAACATAATTTATAAATGCAGCCATATTATTTGTTCTGTTTTGAATATACTTATATCCACATTTTTTTTTACATTAGTTCTCAAATGCTTTCATTCATCAGACTTGAACTTTACAATTTCGCGCAATTAAAAAGAGCTTTTAGTTAAACGCAAAATCTGATGATGAAATGTTCTCAGTAATTAAGTGATTAAGGATGTATGGGTGGCACTTTACAACCGTGTTAATATTTGTACTTTAAATAAACTATATACATATATATATATAAAAGTTTTGTTCGCAATTTCGTTTTTATTGAACAATACATTTTTATAGTTCACTTATTTTATTTGTTATTAGTTTTATTGTTATATTAAAATTGTTAAACTAAAATTTCAGAAACAATAAAAAAATTAAAATTTTTTATAAGTATTTTAAATATTTAAAATAACTTATACAAAGTTTCATTGCGACTTATTGATTAGTTACAAAGATATAGAATAAATAAATATTTGTGTCAAATACAATACATTTCACATATCGCAAATGGTTCACTCATATTTTTATATTCATTTAATATAAGATGAATATGTTAGAAAACAATACAGATATTGTGCAAAAAAATTGATCACAAAAAGATAATGCTGACACAGTTTGTAGAGAAACTGTAAGTATATTTCTTTCAGTATAATTAACATTTATTATATGTTAAAATAACATATTTCATTCATTTGTCTTAGAATTTATGTTTTAAAGCACATTATTTTTATGTTTCTTGTTCACTCATAAATTGTATCATTTTAACACTAAGAAACGTTAAATATCAATTTAAGACAAAATATTTAAATTATATAATCACATAATGTTAAATTAACACTCAAAATGTTAAAAAATTCAACACACACAGTTAACAAGAACGTGAGTGAATCGTTTCCAACATAAATTCCAACACAATATTTTTTAACCGCGTGCCTACATGATTTAGTTACTTCGATATATTCTCGTTGAATCTCTTCAGTTTGTCTTTAAATTAATTTTCCGGAACCTGCTGAACAAGCTAATATCATTATATCGCTTTGTAAGAAAAAAGAAAAGACATGCGCGAATGACAGAGAGAAACGTCGAAAGAAATAATTCTCTTTCGTTTCTCTCGACGCCAAGAGAGTAAGTGGAGTCTTCGATCGATTCGTACACAGCCTCTAGCGAGCTTTTCCTGCACTTTTCTTTTCTTCCATTAGCATCGAGAACCTGAGAATGAAACGCGCAAAAAACGCATTAAACTGTCGACAGAGACGAAAAAAAAAACGTGTTAATCGCAAGTGCGAAATTAATTCTCTTTCTCATGAGTGGTTCAAAATTGGTTCGTGATAAGCATGTGATTTACAAAAAATGTCATTTGATTTTTTTACGATCTTATAATATTCCTCCGACGCAAGATGTGAAAATTACATTCTGCGCGAATTCCCGCAGCATGGCGTCTATGAACTGCACGTAATACGTGCACGAAACATGTTAAGAATGTGGGCAGTATCAGAACTTCAATAATTGAGTGATATTTTACATGATATTTTTCCATATTTGGAGCACTGATTAAGATTACGTCATATGCATTATAAACATATTTTTTACAAATTTAAGAATATTATTAAAACAATCTCTTAGTATATATATTTTATTAAATCTACCAATATAAAGAATGTAAAAAATATGATCAATTAGCTACTAAAAATTATGTCAAGAAAATATTATTTTCTTATACTATTGCCTACAAATATTACAAAATAATTTTAATTTTAGTATCTTTTTCGCTGAAATTAATAATTTTTTATAATTCAAAACAGTTAATGATTCGCATGTTGAGCACTGCATTCAATATTTTGTCAAAATTAGGACATTGTAATAAATGCAAGATTATTTCTTATTTTGGATTATAAGATAAAAGTTCTATCTTTATTAAAATCTGT